AGACTGTGGGGGCAATATGCTGACTCTGTAAACTGCTTAGAGAGGGCTGAAAGCCCTATGAAGCGGTATATAAGTCTAACTGCTATTGCTATAAGTATATTTAATTGTAATTAAATGTAAACATACTTTCTTCTGCTTCTTGCTCTAATGTCTCCCCTTTGAAATATGACCTGCAAGCAATGCCTTTCAAAAGCAAGTTGGAGTCCTTGCTCTGGAAAAAGTTGCACAGGTATAATTGAAGGTTTTAATAGATCTTTGCATTTCAACTCTGCATGTGAGGAATGCATCTCTTGCTGAGATTTCTTTTTTGTCCCCGTTGTGTGTTAATAGTCAGAGCATCGCCCATGTCTGACTTGGTCTTTTCTTGAGTTTTGTAGTCTAGCTATTTTCATGGAAAGAGAAATGGAGCTTTGAAACCGAAGGCCAGAATATTCTGGACCTCCCACAATGTAGAGTCCCAGTGGCCTGAGCTGGAAGGTACTTCAAGAAGTGCACTCACTGACCTTTTCTTATTAATTCTGGAATGCTCTCACATATTCCTCTTTTTTAATGGAAAAGCTGGCAGGGTCTCTGACACAGAGGTCTTTCTCTTTCTCTCACTGTGGTTCTATGAGGCACATGAGGGAGCAGCAGCTCAGCTGCAGACTCTCCAGTTCTCTGTTTGGCTTGTGGGAGCAGCAACTGCAGTTCAGGAAGTGTCAGGGGGAGAAAGGGGAAAGGAAAAGTCAGATGACAAATTATCTACCACCTAGAGACTATGCAATAAATGCCAAGAGGGACTGGAAGCTGCTCACAGAGACTTAGTGTGTGCTGCTCCATCATCCCACCCCCAGGTGATGTGTGCCTTCTTTTAGTGTCCTCTCCCAACCTGCCTCAACTTTGTGGCTTCCAGTTCCAGATGGTGTTTTCCAGGTTTCTGCTACGTTTTTATAATTTATCAGTGTAATATTAGAGAGAACACACATGTGGTCATTTCAGTATTTTCAGCAGGTTTGCTTTCACTCTGTTCTGACTTAGAAGAGCACACCATGTCATACAGCCATTTTAATTAAATTCATGATGAAAGCAAACAATCCATTTATTAAAAATTACTGAGACATGAAATTTCATGGTATTTAAATATTTAAATGAGTAAGAAACAAAGAAAACTGAAACTGAAAAAATGTAGCATTAAATTTATTGAAACTTCTTTCTATTAAATTGCAAAGTAAAGTAAAGTAAAGTAAAGTNGACCCTTCCACCCCTAACTCTTTAGAAAAAAAACCCAGGGATGTTCAAACTTGACAGCTTTAAGACTTGTGGACTTCAACCCCCAGAATTCCTCCTCTCGCTCTTCATCTTGATGATATGCGGACGGGCGGGGGGAGGGAGCTGGAACTGGTTCTAAACGGCACTGTAGATTTGTGGAACCTCTTCTATAGAAGAGGTTAGAACTGGCACTAACCCACCCCTGAAGCATAGTCAAGAGCTGGCTTGTAACTCTCTTGTTTCCCAACTGGCCCTCTGAATAACCACATATTGGGGGAGGCTGTTGCAGGTTGATGTTTCTTTCCACCATTTCCTGCAATCTCTGTCTGTGTATATGTGTGTGTGCACGTGCACATATACAACACACACAATTTAAACTCTGTAACCTTTAACTGAGTGAAATGGTGCATCACAAGGCAATAATTTTTGAACCAAGGTACATCAAATGGCTAATTTACAGAATGTATCCAAAAACCCAGACCCATGGCTCCTGGAGAGTTGATTTTTTGCAAATTTTATAAAACATTTTACAACATAAAAATGATTACAAAATATTTTCTTTAATCAACTGTAGATGTTTGACTATGTTACATAGCTCAACATCAGCTATTTTCAAGAAAGCTACATATCTGAATATTTCCCTGAATTTTAAAGAAATTTTCCAGTGAAGGCAGTACATTAGAAGCTCTGCTACTGTTGAAGGTGTGGAGAAATCTAATAATAAAGTATCTGTGGAACGATGACCCAAGGGGACACAGATTGTCTAATTGTCAATAATCAGGGTAACTTTGATGTGATGCAGGACGCAGGGACATTTTCTTTCATTGTTTTCTTTTTGTATGTTTGTATGTATGTTTGTATGTATCTATCTATCTATCTATCTATCTATCTATCTATCTATCTATCTATCTATCTATCTATCTATCTATCTATCTCTATCATCTTTCTATCTACTGTATCTTCTTCCTCCTCCTCTTCAACTACCTTTGTACCTAAAATAAATTAAAAAATTGGCAAAACCTCAAATACACTTTCGTTTAATTTGCTTGTTGCTCTGAGAGCTTCAGTATTGAATGATAGCAGCAGATAAACCATTCTTTAAATAATGCATTAAATTTCTGAAGTGGGACATGCTCCGTGATGGTAAAATTGCACTGCAGGAAAAGCTCTAAGAGAATTTTTATACCCTTTCCTGTTCCTAGAATTATGAATAGGATAGCTCTGGGGACAAAAACCAATCTCTATATACGTCATAGTGTCGCAAAATCTTTCTCAATTTGTTCATTATTTTTTCAGGATTCAGAAAAACCCGAAGCCTTAGAGTTCCTTACCATGGTAAAAAATATACCAGATGTACCGTTTGGGATCTGCACCAGTTCTCAAGTTCTTTCTCACTATAATATCACCCAAAATACCATCTCCCTCTTTCGTATGGTAGGTTTTGTTTTGCAGTTCTGCTTCTTCCTTGAATAATATCTAAATGTTACAGCTAATAGGTATAAATGGGGACTTGTCTTCAGTCATATTTATGGTATGTAGGAATCTATATGATATTCTAAGGTTTGGTTCATAAAACAAGCTTGAGTGAGTCAGTCACAAAGATAGTGTTTTGCAACTTCCTAACTCAACAAATTTTGGAGTAAGAAGAAATTAGTTTTAATCCTAAACTATATTAGGACAATTTTTGAATTATTTTTCTTCCATTAGATTCAGCTGCGCTGTATGAATTCAAAAACTCAATGGACTATTGAGCATCCTGCTCAGGCAGTCCTCAAAGGTAAAGTGATGAAGCTGAGTGAAGAGTTGCCCAAACCACAAGATGCTTCATTACAAAACTTGTTGTTATATCCTGTTAACTATGGAATCATGCCTTCTCAATATTGATGGTTTATATCATGTCAATGAGGAATAAAAGCCAGCATGACATAATGGTTAGGATGCTGGGCTAAGATTAGGGAAGTCCATGTTCTAATCCTCCCTTTTCCATGGACACCAGCTGGATGTTTATGGGCCAATGAAGCCCCCAAAGTAGTATTAGATACTATAACAAGTAGCTGAAAAGCTAAACTTGTTGAGTATCTAGAACTAGAGAGCTCAAATACAAAACAAGTAAATTGTACAATGAAGCAGAACAAATGTTAAAAACAACAATATTATCAATTGAGGAGGCACTATTTACAGAACAAAAATTTACAGTATTCTCCAAGGACAAGGACTTAAGGGATAAAAGCAGGAGTGAACTTATTTGGTATGAACTCTTCATTTACCTAAATTGCAATTGTCAAACAAGTTTCCATGACTACGTGTTTCACTGATCATTTACCTAGGAGTACTTGAATGGGGAAAACTCTTAAGTGCAAACAATCAAAACAGTCTGTAACTATCCCATATTGTCCTCCTCCTTTGTAGGAAAAAATAGCAAATGATGCATTAGGAAAACGGGAGTGTTACAGCTGAAGGATAACAGCATTGTTGAGTCTGGTTTAACATACTATAAACATGGCAAAGCAATTACCTTCATTAAAACATCATCTGGATGAAGGCAGAGATAGAGATATGAAGAGATGGTTCCAGGAGTAGTAGAAACAAATTATGAATATATTGCATAGGAAAGATATCCAATGGGGATCCTTTTTTTTTTTAAAGAACTTCTCTCCTCAAAGTCAGTGGAATATTTTGGAATGACTCCAGCATTTAAAAAAGCAAGATCAAATCATATTAATCAGTACACATTTGTATACATTTGGGTAATTTATACTCCCCCACCCAAAGGTAAATAGTAGCATTTCTGCTGTGCTTATTCTCTGTAATATGCTTGTTCATTGTCTTGCTGCCCCAA